TTCCCTACTCATCTCATCCCACCGTCCCCCAACACGTTCTCCCTTCCTCTTCCCTTCCCGAGCATTCCCGAGCACGCCTTCCCGATTCCGTTTTATCGGTTTCGGATCCTCGTCGCGATCTCCTTCATCATCACATTTCCCTCCTCGTCGTCCTCCTCATCCTGCTCCATCTCTCGCTCCTGGTCTTGATCCACCTCCTCCTTCTGCTCCTTCCATTCACCCTCCTCCTGCTACGTGTATTAATCCAGCTCGTCATTCTCCTCCTCCTACTCCTGCTGCTGCTCCTCCTGCTCCTCCACCTCATTACACCTTGCATTTTTCTTGTGTCAGTATCAATATCATCCATGTCTTTGTCTTGTTATTCATATTAGTATTACTCCTCCACTCTGCCCATGATTCCCCGCTCCTCCTCCTTCCGCTCCTCCCCCTGCCCGTATTGCAGCTGCTGCTGCTGCTGCTGCTGCTGCTGCTGCTGCTGCTGCTCCTCCTCCTCCTCCTCCTCCTCCTCCTCCTCCTCCTTCTCTCTCTCCTCCTACTGCTGCTGCTGCTGCTGCTGCTGCTCCTCCTCCTCCTCCTCCTCCTCCTCCTCCTCCTCCTCACCCTCCTCCTCCATAGCCACTTTGGCTCGGGCCTTTCTGTAGGCCCCCCGCTCATGGACCCTACCCCTCGGCGTACCCTGCGACCCCAATCCTGCGGAGCAACGCGGCGGGCGTGAGAAACGGGGGAGGGGGGGGGCCCTTGGCTCACGGGAATGTTGGGGGCTGCCCGACAGCGTGCCGGTCTTGTCCTATCCCCGCCGAGGAGATTCGATCCCCTGGCCCATCGGCCGCGCGGCGCGATGTGCGCCGACGACGCTAGCTGGCTTGCGAGGCTGACCTTCGTGCACAGCCTGGAGATGGTGGTGATGGAGAGCGCGGCCTGGGCTCCGGGCGCGACCGTGAAGCCGCGGCGCGGCCTGTTCTTGGGGGGCGCGCACACATGGATTAGCGATCCATGGATTTGTCGTGCGGTCGCCAAATCCATGGATCGGGGGAGGTGCCCTCCCCAGAGATGCGGCCGGTGCCAACTCGCTCGGCGGCGGAGATCCGCGATTCCTCATGGAAGCGGGACCCGTCGCTAATCCACGCCACCTTGATCCATGCTTGCGATCTCCTGAGTTCTGCAGCTCAGATCGGCAGGGCGCCGCGTCCCCGGGCGGCTGAGGCGGCGCCGCCACGCGGCCTGGCACGCGGCGACGGCGCCGCCGGGCGGGTTCGCCCACACCAGCGATGTGGAGGAGGAGGAGGAGGAGGAGGAGGAGGAGGAGGCGAACATCGTCGGCTGGACGATGTCGGCTACGCCGCGGCAGCTCCCTGCACCCCGACGCCCTCGGCCCCACGGCCTCTCGACGCCACCTCGCCCGTGAAGGTGCTGAGGAAGGAGGCGCCTGCGTGACTTCTCCTCCTACTTCTCCTCCTCCTCCTCCTCCATCTCCTGAATATTATTCCTAGTCTTGTTATTCTCCATTAGCGTCCTATTATATGTATTATGATTCCTAGTATTATAATCGTTGTTGCTATTATTAGAATTATTATTGTTAGTATTATTATTATTATTAGTATTATTATTACTATTATTATTAGCATTATTATTATCATTAGTATCAGTATTGATATTACTACTATTACTATTATTATTATTGTTATTATTATTAGTATTATTAGTAGTAGTAGTAGTAGTAGCAGTAGTAGTAGTAGTAGTGGTAGTAGTAGTAGTAGTAGTAGTAGTAGTAGTCGTAATCGTATTAGTCGTATGAGTGTTACTATTATGATTGTTCGTATTAGTAGTAGTATTGGTGTTATTACTATTAGTCGTATTATTATTGCTGTTATTATTACTATTGCTATCATTAGTACGATCAATGGTACTATCAATAATAATATTACTAGTAGTATGTCTTAAGCTTCGGGATATTAAGATGCTTCGTAGTATGAGTGTCCTTCGTCTTATTGTGTTTCGTACTTATCCTTGTTCTTCTTCACAGTGTATCCTCTTCATTCCTCCTCCTCCTTCCCCCTCTCCCCTCTCCTCCTCCTCCTCTCCTCCTCGCCTTTTCTCCTCCTCTCTCCACTCCTTCTCTCGTCGCCTCCTCTCCTCATCTCTTCTTCCTCCTCTCCTTCCCTCCTCCTCCCTCTCCTCCTCTCTCCTCCACCTCTCTCTCCACCATCTCCTCCTCCTCCTCCTCCTCTCTCCTCCTCCTCGTCCTCGTCCTCCTCTTCCTCCTCCTCCTCGCTCCTCCTCCTCCTCCTCCTCGTCCCCTCCTGCTCTCCTCTTCTTCTCTCCTCCTTCTCCTCATCCTCCCCTCCCGTGCTCCTCCTCCTCGCTCCCCTCCTCCTCTCCACCTCCTCTATTCCCTCCTCTCCTAGCGCCTCAACCTCTCCATATCCGCTCGTTCTCTCCTCATCTACTCCACTTCTCTCCTCCCCTCCTTCTCCTCCTCCTCTCCTCCTCCTCTCATCCGCCTCTCCTCCCTCCACCTGCTCCTCTCTCCTCATCCTCCTTCCCCTCTTCCTCTCTCTCCTCCTCCTCCTCTCTCCTTCTCCTTCCTCCTCCTCTCCTTCTCGTTCTCCTTTTCCTCTCCACTTCTCCTCATCCTCCTCCTCCTCCCCTCCTCCTCGTAGCCCCTCCTCCTCCTCTTATCCTCCTCATCCTTATCATCTCCTCTCACCCCTCTCACTCCTCCTCCTCCTCCTCTCTCCTGCTCTTCCTCCTCCTCATCCTCCACATCCTCCGCTTCCGCTTTCTCCGCCTACTATCTTTCTCCTCCTCTCCTCCTCCGCTCTCTCTCCTCCTCTCCTCTCTACTCCCCTCTCCTCCCCCACCCTCTCCCCCTCTCTCCTCATCCCACCCTCTCTCTTCCTCCTCCTCTTCTCCTCCTCCTCGCCGCACGGCCTCCGCCTCTCCGCTCGCCTCAGCGCCCTTCCTCTCTCTATCATCTCTACTCTCCTCCTCCTCCTCCTCCTCCTCCCTCTCCTCCTCTCCCTGTCCCTCCCCCTCCCCCTCCCTCTCCCCCTCCCCCTCCCCTCCGGCTGGATTTCGCCTTGGGACGTCGGGACACGTCTGGCGGAGTTGAAGACGTCAGGAGACGTCAAGCAGAACCGCTCCCCCGTGGCCTTCGAGGGCGAGCATGTGGCCGGGGAGGTCGAAGCAGACGGTCCCCACGGCGAGGGTGGCTCTGCTTGCGAGGCGAAGGTCGGCATGCAGCCTCTGGAGCGTGGTGCTGCAGGCGCGGAGGCGCCGCCGCCGCGGATGCAGGTCTCCGCGTTCGAGTGTCAGGCTGAAGCTGTCGACGAACAGACGATCGAGGGTTCTGAGGGCGCCGAGACGGGCGGCCTGGAACAGATGCTGGACGCGCCCTGGGAGCAGTGCAACGACATCGTCGGCGATGCCGCCTCGGTCGCCGAGGTGGGGGTGCCAGCTGGCAGTTACGTGTGCGAAAGGTCTATGCGGATTTCAGGCGTGCTGCCGACAGTGAGGGGTATGTGGCAACCCTCGCATGGAATGGTTGAACGCCGACGGCGGCGGTGATGAGGAGTGGCTCTCGGAAGCGGAACGCCTCGTTTGGGCACTGGAAATAAAAGTGGGCCAGTGCCGTTGGTGGATCGAACAAGAAACTTCGACAACCTGTTGCGACGAGCACCTGGCCACCGTGCAAGAACCGTGCGCGGACTTGCTGAAGGCGGCGGAAGGCCGATTATGACCACCAGGATGGGGCAGACTGCATGCTGCGCTGTACTGGGTCAGTGCAGCTGCCCCCCCTGGTATGTGGAAGACTGTTCTGGCTCGTTCCCTCGTCGAGGAGGAGGAGGACGAGGAGGAGGAGGAAGAGGAGGAGGTGCACATCGGCCTCCTCGGCCCTCTTCTCTTCAGGAGGGTGAGGGCACAAGTGCGGCGAGTTCAGAGGCCCTCCGCCCGATAGGAGGATGGAGGGGGGGGCACAAGTGCAGCGAGTCCCACAGGCCTCCTCCCGATAGGAGAGGGGATGGCACATGAAGGTGATCCTCAGCTGGGCCTGGGGCCACTTCCCCCTTTTCCTTGCGTGCTCAATGGGGTCGCCCCCCCTGAACAGCCTGGGTTTGGACTCCTCCTCCTTTTCCTCCTCCTCCTCCTCCTCCGCCTCCTCATCCTCCTCCTTCTCCATCTTCTCCTCCTCCTCCTCCTTCTTCTCCTCCTTCTCCTCCTCCCCCTCCTGCTCCTCCTCCTCCTCCTCCTCCTCCTCCTCCTCCTCATCCTCATCCTCCTCCTCCCTCCTCCTCCTGCTCCTCCTCCTCCTCCTCCTCCCCTTCCTCCTCCTCCTCCTCCTCCTCCTCGTTCTCCTTTTCCTCCTCCTCGTTCTCCTTTTCCTCCTCCTCCTCTTCCTCCTCCTCCTCCTCCTCGTCAGCCCTCCTTCTCCCTGCGCCCCCCCCCGTGCCAGCGAGGGTGACGACCAGGATGACGACGACGACGGTGGCGGCGACGACGTCGAGTCGACGTCAGAGGCGACGTCCTGGCCGACGACGTCGACGACGCCGCCCGCCCGCGCACTTCCTGCGAGACGGCGTGCTTGGCCTCTGCCAGGCCGATGTCCTTGAGGTAGGAGTTCTGGTGCTGAGCCGCCGCTGGCGGGGGCGCCTCCCCAGCAAGGGGGGGGGGGGAAGGGGAAGAGATGGGTGGGGAGGAAGGGGGGGGGGAAGGGAGGAGTGGAAGAGGGGGGGAGGGAAGAAGGGGTGGGAAGGGGGGAGGGGGAAGAGGGGTGGAAGAGGGGTGGGGAAGAGGGGGGTGGAAGAGGGGAGGGGAAGGGGAAGAGGGGTGGGGAGGAAGGGGGGGGGAAGGGAGGGAGTGGAAGAGGGGGGAGAGAAACGAGATGAAGATACAGCCGGACTTGATTGGAGAGGACACGCGAGAGGACACAAGACCCTTCCGAGGGCCACGTTGCCACAGAAATGTAGGAGGCACGGGTCGCAAGACACAGGACGCGAGGGTACCCAGGGTCGACCTACTGAACCGGGCCGACTGCAAGACACCACTGTGGGCCAGCTACCCTAGTCCTGTCTCTGCTGAGCGGCGGCCGGCTGCGGCAGCGGCACCGTCACCGGTGCCAGCAGAGCAGCTGCAAGCGACGCAATCCGATATGGATAAGAAGCGTGTCCTTCGAGAGGTTCCGACTGTGAGCTTCAAACACGGGAAAAAAACAACAGGAGAGCGCGCCCGTCGGAGAAGGGAAACGGGAGGGAAGGGGGAGCAAGGGCAGTCGGATGCCAAAGTGCCGCAGAGGGGCATACTGGCACTGCGCGTCCTCCTCGGAGGCTGCATCCACCTCGTAGCATGTCGTTTCCGAGCGGTACGGCCAGAAAACGCCCGCCACGGAACTCATACCATGAGGTTTCTCGGCGCACGCGCGCGTCGCCCGTGTGGGGGCGACGCACACGCAGTATCAGTAGATTGAGGGGGCGCCGGTGTAGGAGGAGGGAGGCGGGGGAGGAGGGGCGGGGAAAAGGAGAGGGCAGAATGGGGCGGGAGGAGAACGGGAGAGCGGAGGGTGGTGTGAAATCCTCGTCGACCGTGGTTGAGTATCTAGGAATGAAGACCTAAGTTCATTATCTTCAGATGATACTGTGGTTAGTGTTTTTTTCATTGACGCGCACAAATCCCAGATCATTCACGAGGAACGTTTATCCCATGAAGTGGGATTGTTGTCTCCGCACAAAGTTTTAAGGCCTCTGCGGGCCCGCCCGGGGATATTTGAACACGGGGGGGTCTTAACAAATCGTGGTCCCCCCCCGGGCTCCCAGAGGCTCTGCGGGAGGTCTGGACCAAACGGTTACCGACCAGAGGATTCATTAACTTCAGTTTTTCTTCCCGTGGTGTCGTTTTGTTGCGCCCATGGGGGCGGACAGATCGTGCCCCCCCTCCAAGGCGCACGACGCATAATGAGCTAACGTACGCATTTTGTGCAACGAGAGAAGCACTGTAGAGTAAGCGTTTCTGGGAATGAGCGTGGCAACACCTCATTTCCGAGGTGAGTGTGGCGACACCTCACCTCGGCTGTAAAATACATCCTTGACCAACTTTTGGCTCAAGGCTCAAAGGACTGACGTACTTCAGCACACTATGCCTGAAAAACGAAAGTTCGAGACCGAAGTCACACGTTTCGAGAAACGTCTGCGTACGACCGTTCATTCACTTCTTTGCGACAGGTTGCAGATTCCTTACAACAGGAGCGAGCCATATCCAGTACCAGTCAACATCGCCATCAAACATTTGGTAAGTGTTGCCAATGGAGGGGTCCCCACAGCCGTCGACACCTTTAACAACAACCACAGGTTATGAGCCCAGGTACCACGCACCTGGACCCCCTGCGGGTTTGACCGCAGATCAGGCGTTGGACTGGTACCTGGCGCAACACGCAGCTCAGAGCGCTCAGTCAAGCGCTGATCCACAGCAGCCGCTGGGCCTGCCGGCGTTGCCCCCTCTGCCGCAGCAGGCGCTGCCGGGGCCATCTCAGGGCTTGCACGGCATGCCCCCTGGGCTGCAGCTGAGCTTGCCTGCGCCGCCCCCGCCACAGCAGCACCTACGGCCGCCTCTGTGGGCAGGCGCCTACCCGCAGTTGCCCGCCGCTCCGTATGCCGTAGTGCCCCGGGCTCCGCCCCCAATGGCACCACAGGGACTGTTCCCAGGAATATCGGGGCCGCATCCTTACCAGCCTGCTTGGCCTCACGCCAGCGACATTCTACGAGGCGTGACTGATGGCGTTACGGGCGTTGGTGCGGCAGTAGCTGGAGCATCAATGGATGTAGCCTGGGGTGCAGGAGCACTTGGCTCAGCAGTCGCAGGGGCATCGGTAGGTGCGGCACGTGGCGTGGGGACAGCATTGTCTACAGCGTCGAGTCTGCTTAACCCTATGCTACCTGGCCGGGCCCCTTCTTACCCACCACCAGTGCCGAAGGATGCCACGCCTTTCTACACGCCACCGGCGCAGGCATCCTCACCAGCACCGGCGGTGACGCTGACGCCGGAGATGCTTCAGCAGCTTCTTCAGCGCGCCGCCGCGGCGACCGTCGCAGCAGAGGTTTCGGGGGCAGAGCCGCATGCTGCTCTGACAGATGCGGCCGAATTGCCCGTACCAGGAGATGCTGAGGGTGATTCCGAGCACGGCGAGCAGCAGCAGCAGCAGCACCCAGTGCAGCGGCACCCCGTGGAGCAGCACGCTCCTGCATCGATACCCGTGGACGTGGTGATGAAGCTTCTTGAGGCTGTAGCCGCAAAGGCTGCGCCCACCACTGGTCAGCCTCCGAGCGTGGTCAACCGGGAGGCGGACAGAGTTGTCATTCCTTCCTTGCCGAGTCATCTTGATTATACCCAGTGGCGCTACAGCGTCCATGCCAATGTGCTCGCGGCCTCCTCGGTGCCTCACTTGGTAGGCCCGTTCATGGACGACGTGGCCAACCCGTACGTCAGCGACGAGATGCTGGTCACGGACAGGCCTCCAGCGATGGCATCCATCGACGCCAAGCTCTTCAGCGCGTTGGTGCATCTGTTGGTTGCCAAGCCCTGCGAGGACTCCACCAGGATACTCGGCGCCATCCGCCAGCTGTGTCAGCCCGGCTGTGGACGACAAGCTTTACGTCTCATTGATGGCGACTATCTCCATCAAGGACCCCGGCGTCGTCAGATAGTTTTGGCGGCTCTTCGCGAGATGACCAAGCCCGTGCACGACATCGGGCAGGCGGAAGCGACGCTCACCAAGCTTAAGAACATCTTGATGGAGCTCCGGGGTAGCCCCGAGATGCCGACGGATGCCTTCATCTTGTCGATTCTTCGGTCTTTGTTTGAATCCAATCATAGACTCGCTCCCACGTTCGCTGCTTACGATTTGATGCCGGACATTGGGACACACTACTTGATGAAGAATATTGAGCGGATCTGCGTTGAACACCGGGCAGCTGCCGCTACAAGACCACCGAAGGTAAAGGCAGCAGCGGGTCTCAGCAAGACCCCCAACACCAAAGCACCCAGCAAAGCACAAGGGAAGAAGGACTTGATTTGTTCCCAGTGCCACAAAAAGGGGCACTCGAAGGAGGAATGTTGGCAGCTAACTCGCCATTGCGATCACTGCAAGAAGAAGGGGCATCTTGCGAAGGATTGCTTTCATAATCCGCAGAGCCCCAAGTACAAGCCACCGAAGTCCACCACGCAGGCGGGGGCATTGGTGACTGATCCCAGTGCCCTTGCATTGGCGGCCCCAGGAGGCGCTGCACCTCCCACTTCTGCCTCTTTGCATCAGCCGTCGCAGGGGAGCGCGTCCTCGTCCTCTGCACCGCCGACGGCCGCTGCGGCTTTGATCGACAGTCAGGTCGCCGAGTTTCAGCGGTACTTGGCTGCTCAGGCAGCCGTCAAGAAGGCCTACGGCTGCGAGTGCACGCCGGCAGCGATGCAGTCTACCGATGTGCTTTTGGATTCTGGGTCAACGTTTCACTTCACGGGCAAAGTTGGCGAGGCCGGCATTTCGCCCACGGCTGCAGTGGAGGTTGCCACGGCTACAGGCGAGTCCGCCTTCAACCAGGGCGCCACGTCGATCGACAACTTGCAGGTGGGACCTCTGCACGCTAACTTTGCTCCTGGGGCGCCTACGGCTGCCGGCTTAGGGAAATTGATCAAGGACCTGAAGCTGGACTTCTCTTGGTCGTGGCGCGACTTCGAAAACCCCGTCCTGACAACAGTGGAAGGTGTTCCGCTGAGTGTTCATGTCGAGGCCGACTGTCCATTCTTGGCAGCATCGGCCAGAGCATGCAAATTGGGTAGCCATTGCTGCCCATCTGACGTCGCAGTGTGCTGCCCGTCATTCTCCGATAGCTCCGTAGTGGTAGATGGGGACAATGCCCCGCGCCAGGAGCTGTGCGTGGACCAGTGTTCGTTCGGCAGCCACAACTACGCCACGGACAGCAGCCACCAGGATGAGTGCATCCACCTCAACGGCATGTTTTGTCCACCTCACAATGTGGGCCAAACAGCCTGCATTGCCCAGGTCATGGAAGATGGGGACCGTGCCCCACGCCAGTCGGACACTCGCGAAGTACCACTCCCAGGGGTCGTGGTAGAGGACGACGAGTCGCAGACTCTGATCATGGACAAGCCGGTTGTCGCACACCACTTCTTAGGTATCGACATCAGTTTGAGTGAGCCAGTGGGCCATTCGCGTACGTGTACTCTGTCACAGCACAAGCACGTTCGTCACATCCTTAAGTATTTCCTCGAGGTCAGCCCCAACCTTGTGCTGCGCAAGAAGCAGACGCCATGTCATGACTCAGTATGTGTATTGGGTATTGGCGACGGTGCTGATCAGGAGGGGGTTTATGCGAAGTTGGCAGCACGTTTGATTGGCATGCTCTTGTATTTGATGCGGGGCACTCGGCCTGAACTTGCTGTCGGCTTATCGATTTTGGGATCTTTTGTTACACGCTGGTCAACACTATGCGACATAGCCGTCATCGGCATCATGTCCTACCTCAACACCTACCCCAACGTCGTCCTTACCCTCGCAGGCGACGAGAGAGACGTCCACCACATGACCTCGGAGACGTTCGCGGACTCCGATCACGCAGGAGATAAGGAAACCAGCAAATCCATTTCAG